TCACTTATAATTAGCAACATTCTGAAGTCTCTAAAGAGTCAAAAGTAAGTTACAAATGTCCCTCAATCTACAGTGAGTTACAAATACAATGTAGATATGCATCCAGATACAATATTCTCCTTTTCAATAATAAAACAAGTTATAATAGTAAATTCAGGTAGAAATTATCTTTATAGAAGTTGTAAAAAGAGAAAGTTAAATTAAAAATGAAGAGAAAATCAATCTTCCAACATATACCTTCGAACAAGGTTTACAAAAGAATACACCTCTGCTAGTTCATCAGGACCTCTGACATTACTCAATGGTGCAATTTTGCATAATCGGCCTGAAATCGCATCTGATCGCACAATTCATGAGCAAACCTGGTGAAACAATGAAATGACCCCAGAAAAAATTGCATAATTTGCCGCACAACAGACTCTTCTTGCCGCATAATTTAATTGCACTGAAAATGTTGCATAATTAATATTTCCCATTTTTACCACTCTATCAAAAGCTCTTGACTTCATCCATGTTAAACTCCCTTACAGGAGCTGAGTGTGGTGAGCTTGTTACAGAGACTTATCTTGATGGCAGATTCAGTGCATCCCTGGTACTTCTTCAGTGTAAATCCTGTTTTAAATCAATGAGACAGAAATGTTTTGTAGCTTTAAGATTTATGGCAGAATGAGGGATAGTTACTCACATCAAATTGCTTGACAAGAAGTTCAGGTATTAACAGTTAACAATTAATACCCATCAATTAAATAACTGATTCAAAACTAAAGTAAATGTAGACTACTTTTCCTGGGGGGGTGGGGGGGTCCCATTTAGCAGTGTAAATTATTTTAGTTGTCAAGGTCTCGTTTAGGGTTGCACACGAAGACATTATAGAAATATAAACTCAATATTTAGTCATTTTTTGTATCTTCTAGGGGTCAAAAAAGTTTTAGTCACGCTCAGATTGGTCTATTATTGCACTCTGTTGAGTTGATTGCTGTAATCAGCTCTTGCAAACGTGCAGCTGTACTGCAATTGGTTGTATTTAACTGCTTGTGCATTGAATGGAGGGTTTAATGAATTTGTTAGGTTATTATGAAATGAAAAAAATTGATTGATTGTATCATTTGGGTTAATAACTTACTTGTGTAGTGATAAGTTAATAAAGATGGCAAATTTTAAGCTCGGTAATGAAATGTGAAGGTGAATTAATCAACA